GAGAAAAAAAAAAAAAAAGGAACGGGAAAAAGTAGATAAGAGGGCACCCCAAGCATTTTAGATACTATATTTTGATACGGGAAAAAATTGATTTTGGATTGTAAGGGAAGCAGAGTTGAGAAGAAATGTCTTTGAAACAGAGAAACTCTAAAGAAGTCAGAATATCTTTAAACTTTTTCTTGTTTCATTTTGTACTTAGACTGCATGCTTAAGTAATCAAGCAGCTGTGGGGTTTTTTGTTTTTTTTTTTTTGGTTTTTTTTTTCCTACATGTAAAAACAAAGCTAAAAAAGCATGCTTTTCTGAATAGATTTCAAAGTATAAATGAGCTATGGTCTCTTTTTTGATACTCAGTGAAAATTGTTTCTTCTGTCTAAATTTCTACACTAAAATACATGCAAAAGATCAGAGCTGGACTCCATACATTGTACCTGAAAGCCATTACCAATCATAAATTCAGACCTAATGAGAGAAAAGTTTACCAGGATTTTATACAGTTAAAATAAACTACTGTTCTTATAAAGTTTAAGTTTCTGGGAAAATGCAGAACTATTGTTTAATACAGTTTCCAATTCAGAAGTGTGAACGGTAATGTTCATTGGTTTAAGAAGGCTGGTAAAAGAGTATCATTGCCCACTAATAAAGAGAGATCTCAGGTTTTGTTATAAGATTATGGTGGATATATATAGTTATTTCCAGTATTTGGATTTGAGTAGAGACACTAAATTTTATATCATTCCTGGTAATATTGCACTTGAACATAACAGTCCTATTATGAACCTGGCATTCATCTGGTCATAATTCTTATGAAAAATCTCTGCAAATGATTTCCAGATGAGATTTGGGAATCATGCATGCATGTGCCAAAATTGAACAAAAGATCATTTTCATAATGTAAAAGTAAGCTTCAAAATTACTCTTAAGAGTCGTAGTACATTTTATATGATGTAAACCTTTTTTATTAAGATCAATCACAGGATTTTTTTTTTTTAATGAATATAAACCTATCTATTTCTCTAAAGGATACTCCTACATAGAAGAAAACAAGTGAAGTGTGAAAATCACAGTCTTGAACTTAAAATGTCATTAATCATATTTTTTGCAATTGCAATTCTTTGACTTTCAATATAGCAAAGATAAAAATACAAATGTAAGATTATTCTATAATAAAGCTCATGTAAATATAAATCCATAAAGCCTCAAACAGTTTTACATGGAAACTTCAAATACTCTTACAGAAAAAATGAATGGCTTTTTAATCGCCAGAGGAGTGCAATTTTGATGTTTAAGATATAGCAAAGCTTCTACTGCCATACATCATGTTTAGAAGGGTAGTTAGCTAAAGAAAGATTGGTTTGTTAATACCATATGCAAAGGTTTAAGAAGAGTTTTGGGGGCATATGTGTTTTCTCGGGTTCTATTTTGTGTTGAAATCTTGGCAACAAAACATTAGAAAGCTAAAATCACATTTCATCTCTGTGTTGCAGTAGCATAAGTTTCAAATATCTTGATGTCATACCAGTGACAATGACAATGACATTGATTCACTTCAGTACACTGAGATATGAAGCTGAGCAATTCTACTAACGTTGTCCTCTCACAATTGGATTCTACTCAAATTACACGGCAGGTAGCAGTGTGTTTTAATTAAGAACTGCTGCCTTAAGCTGCTGTACCACTAGTCTGAGAGAATGGGAGTTAAGCTACTCTGTTAAGATAAAAGAGGAGTGGAGCTGCCTGTCACATAACGAGTACATCACCCAGCTTTGGAGCAGTGCTTGAAAAGAGTGATATGCCAGGCTGCAATTGCAAGCAGAACAGTTAGGCAGTTCTACGCATAAGAGTAAAAAACAGATTTTCTATCTTTTATTGCATTTTCTATTTTACTTTAGGGAGATAAACGGAAACAAAAAGAGAGATGATTATGGGATGGTAAAGGTATTTTTGTATGTGTGGGTAATGGGCATTTTGAAATTAGTGGTTAAAAAACACCATATACTGTGGATGGAAAAAAAGCCATTAAAAATTACACGATTTTGGCACCTCTGTCCAAAATGTCAAACAGTTTCCAACTTGTTGTCCTTGGGTTTCTGTCCCAGGTTGGGAGCCAGCACCCAGCCCCGTGAGTAGCCAGCTCACTGCCCCCACACCCAGTGAGACGGGGCTGACCAGAGGACACGCAGGGGTTAGAAGGTTATGGGTCAAAATAAAGACTGGGAGAACACTCCTTAGTTGCTAGAAAAACAGACTTAAAGATTTTAACTTAATTTATTGCCAAGTAGCATACATATTTTATTACTGATCTGAGTACTTGGAAACAAAGAAGAAAAACATTAAAACACCTCTTGTCTCCTTTTCCCAGCATCTCTCCTTCCCCGTTGTCATCGCTGCAGGTCACACTCAGTCCATTCAGAGAGGCAATGAATGAGGCAGGAAGTGTTGGGTAATTGTGTAGAGATTTCTCCCTGCTGCCATTCTCACACATTTCCTATGCTCTAGAGTGGGTCCTCCACAAGATGCAGTTGTCTCAGAAATGCCTGCTCCATACTGGGTCACCCCCTCCTCTTTTCAGCCTGGAGTTTGTCCTTTCACTCCAGTGTTCTCTGTGCCTGCTCACTAGTTTCTGCCCTTCCTTTCTCAGACTCTCCCCCGTATGCTCAGCTGTGAATACTGGGCCTGGCTGTGCCCTGTCGTGGGGCCATTGGAGCCCCATACCCTCAGGAATGACACCTGGATATCCACACCTTGTAGACTATCAGAGGTATATCAATAATTCCGTATGGTTATCATAAGTTGAAAGTTTGGCAAACAAGCAACATGGTAATCACACAGTCCAAAACTACCTGGGTGCATCATGGAAGAGTTAATAGAGCAACGTTTATTTCCTCAGAAGTTTGTGACTAAAACTTCTCATCAGACAGATGGGAAAACAGGCAGAAAAAAGCTGTTCTTCCCACCTCACTATCACGCATCCAAGCTGTTCATGATCTAGCAGTAAGCACCAGAAGATGGTGTTAACATCCACGCTGTTAATGGTGAGCCATCATCTGTTGCTCCCATGATGTTTCTGTTTCTGTTGCTGTGACGTTTCCATTGCTGGATATTGCACCTATGGCAGCAAAGGCCGAATCTCCAGAAATTCATAATAAAGCTCTGGTACACCCTAAATGTGTGTTCTGTAACTGGTTCTCACCAATCACCACAGCACTGAACTTTCATGGTAAACTTTTATCAAAGAAAAAACAGTAAAGAGACAGGTTCTTCCTAGCCATGCAACTACATTCAATCTGATAAGTACTGAAGTGTTTTAACCAAGACAGACAATCATTTTCAGAGCCAGTCACAAACATTCTTCCATTTAAGCCACATTTAAGCCAATGCTACCATCTCACTGTTTTGTGTATCTTTGGAAATATGTCAAAAGTTCCATAGAAACAAGTTCCTACAACAAACTTGCTGTAGAAACATATTTGCAATACTCTTAATCTGCCATTACAGTGTTGTTTTCAAAATTCATATGTCACAGTTGAATTTAACAGTCAAGACAAAGCTTATTTTCAAATTTAGTGAACCAGATTTGAACTTCATTCCTTAGATAACCATTTATTGTGGAAAATATAACTCTAATTAATTCCATGTTTACTTTAAAACATTTTGTTTCAGTGGTTTTTCTGCCTATGAATTTACTAAGGGCAATGTTTCAGATTATACAAGAAAGATCATGAGAAGATAATGGTAAAATCTGAGGGCAGGAAAAGAATTTCTGCCTTTATGATATAAAATACACTTTATTGCCAGTTATTCACATAGTATTGATTCTGCAGAAGAGATTGCAGGATCACTGAAGATGCTCCTTATTTAAATTATAAAGTGCTACTAAGCAGGAAGTTAGAATTCCCAAATTGCTAAACCAACTATTGAAGAAGCCTATCAAACCTGATAGCTTTGGAAAATATGTTCAAAGGCTTATGAAAAAGAATTTTGATGAGGATGGAGTATGTGTTTCAGAATGCTCACATCAGAAGATGCACACCATCGGACTGTGCAGGACTGAATATAGATGGTTGAAAAGCCCTTTATAAGCCTTTCTTCTGAAACTGATTTTAGTTTAGAATTAGTAAAGGTGTTAACATCAGTGCTATGTTTACATTAATGTGACTTCTTCATAATGATAGTTTGAGATTCAACTGGGTCTGCTGACATGTTCAGCATTATAACAGGAATAAATTTCTCTGTTGTGTAGGCAAAAAGTGGAATACATTTGTCAAATTTTTCATCTCCTGTGGAGGTTCCTTTCATATAACACATGGATCTACTGAGAACAGAATTCTCTTCCTACAGTCCAGAGCTGGGCAACATGAACCAAAATAAATTAGCTCTTATTACTCAGTCAGACTTAGCTAATGCTAAAAATGAAACTTCCTTCTCCCTTGCTCCCTCTCCTCTCCCTCTCCCCCCCACACACTTATTTGATATGTCAAATTACACTATTCAGTTCAAACACCTGGTTCTTACTGAAATAGCCTATCCTATCTCTTATTTCTTTTATGTATGGCTGCTTAGATTGCCAGTAACTTCAAACGCATATTGCAATTGTCCACAATAGCTAATACTATAGTCCTCCTTGCTTTGTATTTGTTTACAACTACACTGAATTCTTGTGTTTGCCAGATACCTCATGGACCGTCCAAAGTAAAAGCTTTAAAATTAGGCTGCCAAACACATTTTATGATAAGTCTTTATCTACACACCAGTCTCTAAGTCAACCAGAGAGATGTCTTGAGCATCCCAACTTTAATGTTTTTGCTTCTCTAAAAATGTACTTACTATGTTCACACAATTACTAATAAAGAAAAGTTCTGTAATTCTTGCACATATTAATGATATTTAAGAGTAAAAATCTCCTCTACTAAGTATTTTAGATCAACTTTGGAAAAAAAATGTTTGTGCATGATTTCATCACAACACTTCAGTTAAAAAAAAAGTGGATTAGTATTAAAATTAAAATTTTATACTGATTTTATTTTCCTTAGAATTTAATATAATATCAAATACGTATTGCTAGACAAGGTATGCCTACATGAATTCTTATCTTTTAAGGAACAAATAATTCAGAAATGAACTCTACTGTTTTGTTATTGTAACAGAACTTGCATCTACTTATTGATCCATTAAATAAGGGTCTAATTACGTTCAAAAAATTGTAATAAAAACTACTACACTGAACAAATAAAATTAACCTACACAGTAGGTATAAATTATATTGTCTCATAGAGAACTGAGAAGGACTTTACATAAAATATTATTCATGCATTCAGAAATACTTTGGCTGGTTATCCTTGTGGTTTCATAGGTTTAAAATGCACTTACATATGGCTGAATGGAAAAACACCAGTATAAGCCTAATTGAAACTTAGTATACACAGTTAGTATTACACCAGAATATCTTACTTTAGTATTGTATCTTTATCTTCAGACTAAATTTCACTGAAGACATTTGTATGGAACCCTCATAGAGCTCTGTGAAAGAATTCTTGTGAAAACGTTACCAAAATGTCTAAATTAAATTCATTTAATATTCAATTGATCATGGTGACTTAGGAGATTTTGATTAACTGAATGCGCATGAATATCAACATGCTAAATAGAAACACACTTTGTTACTCTAAACTCAATAACTGAGAATTTGAGCAGTGATACAATAATGACTGGCTGCACATAGATATTACATCTCTCTTTGAAATGACATCACATACTGAAACATTTGGGGAGAACAAAAAAAAGGGGGAAAACTGTTCCCTGTTTTTGAAATTTCTGAAGCTTTCAATGACTATGTAGTAATCCAGGAGAAGTGAGTGGCTGGCAGGGAGGGAAAAGGAAATGAAGAGAGCTGAGAAATCTGTTGTTTCTTTTAAATTCGATTAGTTGCAGAAGGGAGCATCTCTCAGTCTACCCTATATTCTGTCACCTAGGAATTATTCCAGCATCATCTCAAACTGACTTGCATATTTCTTCTGCACTTGAAGGCAGGAAAGTGTTTGAGGAAGAGAAGCTCTATCTGCATGAATCTCTTGAGATGAGAATGGGTGCTAATGTAATTGGCAGAGTCTGCAAGGAAAAGAGAGACAAGTTTTATTCAAAAGCTCCTTAGCTATGCAAAGAACATTCAGAAAATCTATTTTATATTTATGAGAATGCCACATACTCAGAATCATCAACTTTATTTCCTGCACAATAATGGGAAAAAAAGCAAAAGACTTCCTAAGGCCAAACAAGACATAAAAAAAAAAAAAAAAAAAAAAAAAAAAAAAATTATATTTTCCCAAGCTTGAAACTGCTGTATTTTAAGTAATGTTAATATTTACTAAAAGGAAAAAACTCCAGGTACAACATTCTCTCCTAAAATATTGCAAACTTATTGATTATTATAAATTATTAGATAAAGTTTGAGAACATTTACAGATCACATTCACACAGTATTTGAAATTTGCATATTACAATATAATACAGAGAAATTGCAAATGAAGACGGTTATCATCTTAATATTAAAACCATTGACTTCTTAATGCATTTGCACATATGCACTGGTGTTTATTAATTGTGTTACATCTGATTTTGCCAAAACATAATGTAGCTGATATCCCAATAAGTTCCATATTTTGTGTCTCTACAGGAAAATTTGGATTTTTTAGTATCTCTCTCATTGTTTCATCTTAGAAAAATCATTTCTATAGTCTGTTTATTTCACTTAAACTGACAAAACAGTGTCATTTCCAGAACACTTCTGATTTCTTATCTGATTAAAAACCAAATGCTAATCCAGATAAGTGATAGACATCAGTTTTTCCATGATCACTAGAACAGTGGAAAATGTTAGCGCTTTCAGGTGAGATTTATAGGTGAGACATGGTATTTTTATGTAAAGCAGAAAAAAGGGAAAGCCAGTTTCAGCTTGTGAAAGGACTTGACTTTTTTTCTGCATACTTGGATTTATTTTTGGTTTTATTGTTAAAACAATGTGGATGGAAGTGCTGTTTGTATTGCAATAAATCATGATAATCATGTAGATTGTTTGTGTGCAAATATGCAAACCGGAACTGTCAGTAATGTAGCATGACATGTCATTACTGTTGATAGTGTTTGCTTATTTTAGGAATTCGTTTCAAAAGATGCATGTTGCATACTTGAGTACTACTTTGTATTTCCTATTAAGGTCACACTGACCAGAGCAATCTGCATGAATGTCTTCATCAAAAAGAAAGAAAAAAAAAAAAAAAACAAAAAAAAAGCACAAGGAGATGTCCTATCACCACATTCACTCAAAATGTCAGAGGTAGTCCGGGATTTGTTTAATCAAATATGGGATGACTTATTCCAAAGAGAACAGTTGTGATCTTTATTTCTGTGGCTGCTATAAGGAGATGTGTTATTTGCTATCAGCACAGCAAGAAAGCTAGTTGTCTTTAGCTGTCTCTCTGTGAACAGAAAGATAGATTTCTTTTTATCATTTCCTAGTCTAGTAAAGATGAGTACATATACTTTTCTGCCCTATCTATTCTTGGTGTTCATTAACTTATGAAAACAAATACAGTATTTTTATTTTGTGCTTTTCCCACTCCAGTGAATTGGTTATTATAAGAATAACTCCACTCTTCAAAAAAGGTTCTCTATCAAAATAAGTCAACTGGAGAATGAAACACATGGAAAACATTTGGGTGAGAGAGAATGGGCTCATAGTGTCCTGAGAAGAGACCTACTGGGCAGAGGGAGACCTCACAAAGGACCAGCAGATGCCTGTGTCCAGCTTCGGACTGCTATTTATCTGGTCCTCAGGCTGTGGCCATCTCATTTGGAAAACAGGAGCTCAGCTGGCACTCAAACTGGTGAAAGATAACAAGAAAGAATTTCATATTTATGAGAGTAACAGAGCACAACAAAGATACCAACTTACTACTGAAAGTGGCTGGCAAATTAATTACAAATGACAAAGGAAATGTTGAGCTGCTTTCTTTGCTTCAGTCTCCACGGATAAATTTAGACCAAAAATCTCTGTGCCATTAGGTAGTAGAGCAAATTGTAAATCCTCAAGAGATTGAATCTAGGGATCATCTGTACCAAAAGGACATGTACAAGTCTATTAGACCTGCCAGATAAGTCCAAGAATGCTAGAGGTGCTGCTGATACTGCCATTATGCAGAGCCACATTTCATCACCTTTGAAAATTCATAGAGACCAAGGGAAGTCCCTGATGATTAAGCCATTTACAGAGGAAAAAATAAAAATAAAAATAGACCAGTATGTATCCATTCAGCCTCTGGGAAAATTTTAGAACAGGTCCTTAATCAAAGCTATTTCCAGATACATGAAGGACAACATGGCGTCATGGAAAAGCTGAAAAGGATTTGTCAAGATCCACGATAGACCACCCTCATTGCCTTCTGTGACAAAACAATTTACTCACTGAATAAGAGAAAAGCTGTGAATGTCAGCTACCTTGATTATAGCAAATTATCTGACACCGTCTCCCCACAATATCCTTGTAAATTGATCAGATACAGATTTGACTGCTGGACCAGAAGAAGGATGAAAAACTGGCTAATGGCCAAGCTCTGAAGTTAGTGGTTAATGACTCAAAATCAAGCTGGCAGTCAGCCAGAAGTAAATTTTCTATGGGGTTGATATTGCATCTGATACCATTCAGTATCTATAAAACAAGGTAGATGATAAAATTGAAGTTACCCTTACCAAGTATGACAACAACCTATGAGGAAAGGCAGATATTCTGGACAGAAAAGGCACCATTCAGTAAGACTTTGAGCAGGCTGCAGGATTGGACCAACAAGAATTGCATGAGAATAATCTGAATTCCTGCACCCAAGAAAGAAAATTCCTAAGCAGCAATACAGGATGAGATCTAACTTACTGCTGAAAACATCCACAGAACAGCATGCTACAAATGGGCATCCTACTTGCCGTGAAAACAAACCACATCCTAGGTTGCATCAGTAAGATATTCTTGCTGATTAAAACAAGGTATGTGATTATTATTCCATTTCAATTGACACTTGTTAAGCTACACATGAAATATCAAGTATATTTTGGTCTCATCAATTCCATTAAAAACACTGAAATGATCCAATGTATCACACCAAAATGAGTAATGAATTGGAGAACATGACATATGGAGCTGGTTTCCAGCTGATATAATTCAGAATCAAAACAGATGAGAAGTACAGAACTGGCCCAATTACAAACTGGCCCTCAGAACTGTATGTCAGCAGAAGTCCCAGAAGGAATTTACACCTGATTATTATTCAACAGGAACTTCAATGCTCTCCTTAATGATATGCTCCATAGACTAGAATTACTAGAATGACACATAGCTAAGGGATAAAAACCAGCCATTACATCAATACCTTCAGATGTTTCCAATCTTTCTGTCAGTCACTTATGTTTCAGGAAAATTATATTCTAGAAGTGCCAGATGCTTAAAGCAGAAGTAAGTGTCCTCTGTATTGGATGTTTCCCTGCTTCAAACTTCAGTGTCCATATTGGTAGCCTTTTACCATCGTTTATATTAAGATCTGTCTACATAGTTGTATGTAGTAGCAATAGCCAAGCTGTTTCACAATAAACTGATATTAAATTTTGGACCTGAAACAGCCTAACTATAGTAACAAGGAGTATAGCCTGGAACAATATAATCTGTGCTCACAGTGCAGTTTAGCTCACTCTTATTTCCAAAAGAAACTGCCTTAAATTGCCTCGTAACAAAATTGTCTTATTGGAATTAACCTTTGGAGCTCAGGACCTGAGACCTCCGCAACATGCTATGAGTGTATGAAGTGTTGCCCAGGCTGCAGTACCAAGCTATCATCTCTTACTACACCATGTTTTTTTTTAAAATCATGTAAGTAAATTATTTCACCCATGTTACCTATGGAATTTCCACATTCCAGGACTTAAATATGTTACAGACTTTCATGTTTTGCCCAGATGTTTCTTTCTTTTTTTTTTTTTTTTTTTTTTTTTGATGTCTCTCTCTCTAGTCACTTGACAGCTCTTTTTCCTCCATCTATTGAAAAAGAAAAAAAAAAAATCAATCTAAAACATATTGATTTAAAAGAATGCATTTCCATTGAAAAGGCTTGCAAGGTCTTTGATAAATAACTACAGCTTATCTTTTATTCTCATTGCACTAGAAGTTTAAACCACAAAGAATATTCTGAGAATCCAGGAGCTTGCTGTTTTTTTGTATATTCCAAATGTGTGTGCTGGAATTAAAGTGTTTTGACCAAGATCTGTACAAAATGTGTGTTCTCCAAGAGCACAGCATGAAAAGAAGCCTAAATGTATGGTATAGTATGAGGGAAGGTTGCACTGTATGCAAACTTGGCCAGGCAGTTTGAAGCTAATTATGGGGAAAATTGATCTAAGAGTATGTCATAGGGAAAAAAGCCCCTGTTCACTCAATTAAAAATTAATTAAGATATAAGTTGTTCATTTGTTTATTAATGACATGTAACTGACTAGTAACCAAATCCATTTTCAGGGTCAGTATCAGTAACACAACATAGAAATAACTATACAATCCAGTTCCAAAAACGTTGTAAGCACCTACAATTATCTAAATATATAACCAGTCAACAAACATTCTGGTCAAAAATACACATAAAATCATACCTACGGTTACTATCACAGCCACCCCTTCATCAAAGGATATATGGATTACAAGGACCATTTCAAAAATGTATTTCATTTTTGACTTTGACAAAAACTTTCATAGTCCTGTAAGGAGACATGGGTGCTTTATGGATACCTGTGCTGTTCCTCACAACCTTTTCTCACTAGTCTATATTGATGAGGAAGCATAGCATGAGCTCATAATCACAAACCCAGTGTGTGGGTCCTTGCTTGTCCAATGAGGTTGCTGCTCTCTGGCTGAAGCAGAAGTATGATGCCAGCGCTGCAGCATTTGGCAGTGTCAAACTAGGTTGTGATTGCCCCGTTTCTACTCTATCTCTTCCTGCTATAAATTTTTATGTTTCCTCCACAATTCTTTTAAGATTATTTCTTTCTTTGTTTCAAAAGTCTCTTTAAAGTTCCTTCATTACTGTTTAATCCAAGCTGATGGTTGTCTTCCAACCAACCCTTTTTTGGCAAATACTCTTCCAGACAGTTCTGTGTATTTGATCCACACAAATGCACACACACTGTTTAACCTCACATTCTTATTAATAGGAGTTGATAGCATTTAACACTTAAGTCTTAGATGTCTTTATACAAAAGATTTGTCAAGCATGAGCTGCATGAACATCACCACAATCAAACATTAAAAAGAACTTCTGAGAGCAGACATTCTTCATTGCCTAGACTTGAGCGTTTTCATGATAGTAAACAAGCAGAATGCTGTAGCTTGCACTTAAAAATCCCCTAGCTTGACTATGACATAAATGTACAAGATTCCATGGTCTGAAATGCAGCATGCCTGAAATCTGAAATCACAGTCAGGAGATTTAAAATGTGTCAGTACAGGTTCACATCCAAAAGAAAAGGTGGCTTAAATATTACTCTACCACAGATGGCACTACAAGCATATCCTTAATTGCTTATTTGCATTCACTGACTTTGTCTACTTGCTTGGATATCCAATATTTGTGGACTAGTCTAGCCAAATAAAGAACATAAAAAGAGATATAGCTATGCTTTGTTTTTCATTCTTAAGAAAATACCCTTCCTTTATAATTATGCCTGTTTTCCAGAGGCTATTCAGTTCCACTGACATTAATATGAACTGTAAAGTATGTTTTCATACCCTAAACAATTTCTCCCTCCTGTTTTGAAATGCTCTGCCCGCCAAGGGAGTGTTTGAAGCATTTGCTTGTTTTTTTTTTTTGGTTTTTTTTTTATGCAAAGATTCTTTTGTTGTCCTTATTTTACGATGCCAGAGAGACTGACCAAATCTGTAACTTTTTGCAGTTTTGACAGGCCAATATTCATTTTAATTATCCAATAAGCCACCTGATGCTTACTTGACAGTCTTTTGTATACACTGTGCCACTTCATGACATAATCTTAGGGTAAAATTTTGCAAGACAAATGATCATTGATTGCTGTGAAAATTCTTCCTATTTTAAAATTATCCTTCAGAACCATCATCCTAGACTGTAGATGAGCACCAGAGAGATAGAAGGGAAGTAGCAAGAAAGAGATGTAGTGTTAGGCTGGAGTAAGGCATATTCCTGCTTGGGCTACTTTGAGCAGGATCAAAGCCATCTTGTGAACTTCTGCTGACAAAATATATGAACTACCTTGGCCCCAGTGAGCAAACAAGGTTGTTTTAAATAATAGACTAAATCAGTGTATTAAAACATCTGTGAGACCTGCATATGAGTCTTTATTTGTTTTGACTACTACTGTTTACAATCTGTGTTACAAAAATTAGGATATCATTAATGACACAGTATATATGATCATATAGGATGAGTGCCTGCTTACCAATACTATGCTTTTGCTCCCCATATAAATCCTAGACCTTTTGTATATTGAAATGATTACACTTTATATGCATCAGGAGACAAGAAAAATGCTGTGATATCAAATGGGGGATCTGGCAATTCCCCAGCTGACACGGGAAAGTGGGAACAGGATGTTGTATAATTCCAAAAGACTGTGCCTTATTAAATATGACTAATTTCTTCTCTATTGTTATCTATTTTTAAAATGCTTACTTCTTGGTGTGTCAGATGGCACCAAAAGCTCCTCTGGGGAGACAAGGAGTCTGTGAAATTATTACTTATTACGTTATGACAATATCAATGTTTCTGCAGAATTTTATGGAGAGCATATGGCCAGTGGTGAAGGTGGGGAGCAGAAGGCAAAAAACAT